AAGACTCCCTCTTGAGATGGTTCGTCGAATTGGATGACGCCATAAGGGCGCGTCGCATCGACGACGGGGATATGCAAGTTGCATTTGCCCAGTCAAATCTGGCAGGACGTGCCAAGACTTGGGCACTGGGGCTCAAGCTGCACGACCCATACGCGTTTGGGTCGTTGGAAGTCTTCAAGTCGCGGCTCAGACAAACGTTTGAACCGCCTAGAGCTGAGTTCAGAGCTCGAACCGAACTCTTGAAGCTCAAGCAGGGTAAGCGTGATGTGCACGCTTACGCTCAACATATACGACATCTCACGAGTTGTATAAGTTCCAATCCGGTGGATGAACACACGTTGGTTTCGGTGTTCATGCAGGGTCTTGCGGATGGTCCCGTCAAGACTCACCTGTTCCGGCTTGAACTAGATTCACTAGAACAAGCCATTTCCATTGCGGAGCAGGAAGACTTCAGTCTGAGACAGGCTCGCGCCAGCTCGACATCATATCGTCAACCGAGACGATATGACAACGGAGGTCCAGAGCCGATGGAACTCTGTTATGTAGAGAGCGAGAAGGTTCGCTCTACAGGCTACAAGAAGTTGCAGAGATGCAACAGATGTCAGAAGACAGGACACTACGCTTACGAGTGTAGTGCCCCTCGTCCAGTGTCTCGCGACACTGGGCGTAGTGACCGTCCACCCATGAGAAAGGGGCAGGGACGAGGGTCCGCAGTTGGTGCAAAAGACGCAACAACGGGATGGACCGTCAAAAACGGACAGGATCAGTAGGTGCGGAGCACCCTACTGATCCAGCAACGTCAAGAGAATTTGTAGGCCTCTTGATGAAGGTTGCTCCCAAACACACAGACATTGTGCGTTGCTGCTCTAGGTAATGAGATCTCACTCATTACCTTGAAACTCGAAGTGACGAATAAGTTGTCCCTTCGAGCTCTAGTCGATTGTGGGGCGTCCAACAATTTTGTGCGACGCCAATCGCTAGAAGATGGTCACTTTAAATTCAGTGAATGTGACACACCTCCTACGAGGATGATGGTACGTCTTGCGACAGGCGCATCCGTAATCAAATATGAAGCGTATAGTGAAGATTCACTATACGCTAGAAGATACCCAATACGACGATGACTTTATCGTATTGGATTTGGATGACAAATTTGATGTCATCCTTGGAATACCGTGGCTCAGAAGGTACGAACCACGGGTAAACTGGCAACATCGGACAGTAACGATGCCTGCCGCTTGTTCATCAGATGGCCATCTGATGAACGTTTTGGAGCGTCCACAAGCGTGTGGATGTACTACGAGTGAGTGCGATGGCCTCACTTGTGGTACGGTCGTTAGTACGACTGCACAAAACCTTAGTGTACCAAACGGTTACACTTCGGAGCAAAGTTCCGGCGGCTGTGAGGAAACACAGGCTGCGCCGAAGGTCCACCACTCGAATAAGTCGGGTGGACTGGGACAAAGATGTATCCCTAGAGGGGAACATCTAGAAGAGAAACAATCGATCGCTCAGGTTAAGCGAAACGATAATCCTAGATCGACTGGAGAGTCTTTCGTAGAGGATCTCGCTGTGGTTGCGCAACCCCAGCTAGAGGAAATAAAGGGAATAAGTCCCAAGATAACAAATACGGCGGAAATAAGTTCCCCGAAACCCGCGGGAATAAGTCCCCGGGAAGACGAAGGAATAAGTCCTTCGAAGCCTGAGGGAATAAGTCCCCAGGAAATGACAGAGACATTGAATGTCATAGTCAATAACGGATCATGTGTAGGCGCTTATACACTTGATCTGATTGCGCCTCCGAAGTTAACTCCGGAGATCACTCAGTTGCCAACGCTCGAACATAAAAGTTCTTGCGTGATCTGCGTAGTGGCAAAGTCAAGCAGATCTGCATACTCGTCGCTGACGACGAGTGTGTAACCGACATAAGGTCAGCAACAGTGTTTACTGAGAACGAGAGAGTTCTCAGTAGTTCATCTATGGACGAGAGTGTCCTAGATGAAAAGACACGAATTGAGCGATATGAGTCCCAATCATGGGAATCGCTCAAGGAAAACCTCTCTATGAGGATTTGGTTGAATTCAAGGATGTATTCCCTGAAACTGTTCCGTGCGAATTACCGAAGGATAAAGGTATTCGACACGAAGTCGAGCTTAAACCAGGCTCGAAGTACTGTGTCATGAAGCAGTGGCCACTGCCTCGTGAACAGTACTTGCGATCGACAAGTTCTTTGCCGATCGTTTAGCAGCGGGCCATGTGAGGGAATCAACTTCCCCACATAGCTCTCCGACCTTCTGTGTGCGAAAAGCAACAGGAGGGTGGCGGATAGTGCACGCGTTTAACAAATTGAACGCTGCAACGGTACCGGCTCAGACGCCGATACCGAGGAAGGACGTAATCATTGATGGTATGTCAAAGAGTACCATCTTTTCGTCCATGGATTTGATGGATGGCTTCTATCAAATCCTAATGCGGGAACGGGATATACCCTATACCGCAGTTAGCACGCCTAGCGGCATGCTCTGGGAATGGCTAGTAATGCCACAAGGGCTCAGTAATGCCCCTGCCACGTTCAACAGGTGTGTATCACATCTGTTGAGGCCAGTACGAGAATTCGCGCCGAGTTATTTCGATGACGTATTCATCCATAGTCGAGCTATGGATGGAAAGTCGGACGTTGAGGTTCACAAGTACCACGTCCGACAAGTTCTTACAATCATGCGAAAGCATCAATTGTATGCAAACCTCAAGAAGTGTATATTTGCAGCAAGCGAAATACCACTTCTTGGGTGCATCGTTGGTAAGAACGGTGTACGTCCTGATCCCGAAAAGATCAAGGCGATCACCGACTGGCCCGTGCCGGTCGATGTCAAAGGTCTTCGAAAATTCCTTAGCTAGCGGCGTATTTGCATAAGTATTCACGCAATTACGCCGAGATGACTGTACACCTCTCTCGTTTGTTGAAAAAGAACGAGAGGTGGTTATGGAACGCTGAATGTCAACGCTCCTTTGAGGGTATCAAGCAGAGCTTGATACAATCCCCAGTCCTAGCAATAGCCGATCAGGACAGGCCATTTCATGTGGTCTGTGATGCCAGCGATTTCGCAATCGGCTGTGCATTAATGCAGTACGACCTTGAAGGCGTTGAACGCGTCGTCTGCTATCAGTCGCGTCAGCTGCAACCAGCTGAGCGGAACTATCCAGTGCATGACAAGGAACTCCTTGCCATGAAGTATGCACTCGCGAAGTTCAGAGTCTATCTATTAGGAGATAGACCCTTCGTTGTTTACACTGACCATGCGTCCTTACGCACGGCAGTGAACAGCCCGCACCTTTCACAACGAATGGCGCGGTGGTTGTCATTCTTTGCAGAATACAACTTTACGGTCGAGTACAAACCAGGACGACTTAATGTCGTCGCTGATGCACTCTCACGTCGTCCCGACTTTGAAACAGTCGCGAAACCCAACAGTGAGACAGTCACTGTTGCGGTTATGACGTCCTCAGTTCCATCTACAACGTTGTATGATGATGTGAGGCGGGCATACGCCCAAGATGGTGAGATAGTGAAGTTGTTGTCACATCTCTCCCAACCATCTCGAGAATCGTTGAAACGATTGTCGTCTGCGTATCGATCTGCATCAGATCGATACACTACTCGTAACGGTTTACTGTACTATACAGCCGTTTCTGGTGACACACCACGTGTTGTCATTCCAGATGATACTGATCTGCGTTTGCGGATCATGTTCGAGTATCACGATGCTCCTATCGGAGGACATCGTGGCCGAGAGAAAACATATCTCACGGTAAGTCGAGACTTTTACTGGCCCCGCCAGTATCAGTTTGTGCGAAAGTATGTTCGCGCATGCGAAGTCTGCCAACGAGTGAAGTCAAGTCCTTCACTGCGTGCACCTTTACAGCCTCTACCGGTTCCGGCTGAGTGCTGGGAATCCATCTCAATGGATTTCGTCTTCGGGTTACCCAAAGACGCACGCGGGAATACGGGTATTCTCGTATTTGTTGACAGATTCAGCAAAATGGTACACCTTGTGGCTGTACCAGAGACAATCACGGCAAGTGGCTGTGCTTGTGTCTTTATTGACACCATCTTCCGACTTCATGGGTTGCCCCGTGAACTCGTATCAGACAGAGATCCACGATTCACTGCTGATTTCTGGCGTTCCGTGTTCAAATCACTCGGAACGCGCTTGAAGATGTCAACATCTGATCATCCAGAGTCAGATGGTCAGACGGAACGTGCCAATCGTGTCCTTGAAGAGATAATTCGAGGATACGTACACTCCTTTAAGAGTTGGAGTGAGTTTTTGCCGATGGTAGAGTTTGCCATCAACAACTCGGTGCATGCGTCCACGACACATACACCGTTTTACGTGAATGGCTTGCGCCATCCGCGTGTACCCACCTTACTAGAGTGTAACTCTGGTTTAAGGGGGGAGGGACTCGCGCGAGCAAAAACCGATTTGGTTCACGCTCATCACGCTCTGACGAAGAAGTCATTGCGTTTGATGCCGATATCGATAACATCGATATCGAAGAAGATGATGCCAGTGAGAGTGCGGAAGCCCTCACTGAAGACAATGATCCCAGTGAGAGTGCGGAAGCCCTCACTGAAGAAAAGGTTGTTGTCGCTGCAGTGCGCTCACAGCACACTGAAGCTAACGAGTCATCAGATGAGTTCATACTGGCTCGTGAAACGGTAGTCCGTTTTGTGCAAGACTCCATCGCCGAAGCGGTGGATAAGCAAAAGCAAAACGCTGACAAGAATGGAAGGGCAAACACTCTTTTATTTAATAAAGGTGACTTAGTCCTACTGTCTACGGTTAATCTACCAAAACATGTAGTGACTAACTTGGGTAGCAGTAAACTACTACCCAAGTACATTGGCCCATTTCGTGTATTGCACCGCCTAGGCAATGCATACACGATCGAGTTACCACGTAAGATGCGAACGCATCCCACGTTTTACGTTGGTCGGCTTAAGCCGTACCATCAGTACGCTGCTTCTTCCGATGAAGAACGCCCTTGCGCTCAAGCATCTCGCAGAGAGCCTTGTGCTCCCGATGGTGGGCATCAACAAGGGTCTGAAGAGCAGTTATCTCAGCCCGAGACCGATCAACAATCCCACGAGCTACCCTTAGCTCGTCACGAAGAGATGTCAGAGATCTCTCGTTCTCAAGCTGAGCAAAGGCAAACTCAGCTCGATGCTTCGAGGCAGTGTCCACCATCTGGAGACGCCTATTCCGCTCATGCTCGAGATCGTCGCGTAACCCTTGCGTTACGCGATCAAAGAAGCTCTCGGGAACACACCGATCCACATGATCGTGTGGAGAGCGTCTTTCCTCCTCCCTCCACCTCCATTAGAGGACTCTCGCGGTGGCCAGCGCTATCTAGTTGAGCAGCTGTTGAACCACCGCGACGTGAACGGACGTCGGACGAGTTACCTCGTCCGGTGGCGCGGCTATCCCCCGTCCTGGGATTCTTGGGAGCCCCGCTCCCAATTGATGGTTGACGTACTGGGTCTGGTCGAGCAGTACGACGCGACACATCCTGTGCCGCAGAAGGACCGCCGGAGAAAGTCTTCCCGGCACGGTCGTAAAGGGATTTCAGGTTGTCAATCCCTTCGTACATCTCAGTAGAGACACGTACGCGCCACCACGGGCTGGTAAGGAGGTAAGCCTCCTTAGGTGCTCGTGCAGAGTTGTTCACACAACATGGGCACGAGTCTCCCCAAGAGAGGCAGGGTAATCCTTTCTCCCTTGACAGACGATGCAGCTTGTAGCGTGCACCTGTCGGGGGTTCGCTTTTCAAACTTATCACGAGCTTTGATAAGTTTGTCGTTCCAAGCGTCACGACCTACATCCTCGAGGTTATGGATGTAGGCGTTCCACGCCTGAAGTAGTGAGGGACCATCACGTTTGTGATTCCCACTGTACCATCGATGTCTGAAGAAAGCATCGATGAAGAACTCATGTTCAGCGCGATAGTCTTTCGCGCTGGGGTCAAGGTGATGAATCCTTGACGAATCGAACAATCGTGTTCGATAACGATCACTCGTCGTCGCCGACAAGTGATCCATGACAGATTTAGGAGGCATCCATGCCTTCTTTTCTGGAGCGAGACGCAACACATTGCGGTCCCGCTCTTCCTGCGACGTGCCGACAGAAGTACTGGCACCTCGTTGTGAAGTGGTGTCCATTGGAGAAACGACACCACTATTAGCGCCCGAGTCTCGCGACCTCGAGCGCCTTCGCTTCGGCGATGGTTCATCTGACTCATCAGATGAACCAAAGATGCTGCGACGCAAAGCATCGTCCATGCCACGCTTGGCAGGCGGCTTGGATTCAATTGCCGTCGATACGGATCCGTCATCCGTATCAGGAGAGTACGAGACACCGAGCTCGTACTCTGTGAAGACACGAGTGTCTTCATGACCAGCGCCTGCATCACCAGGTGATACAGGCTGAGTCGATTCAGCAACCGATGGGATATCAGTTGCTGTAGTTTCTGCTTCGGCGTCCGCACAGAGACGTGCAGACGCGCTCTCGGCGGCCTTGCTCGCGCATCGCATGGGCTTGTTTACCATGCGATGAGATGTTGGAAAGTGGACGCGGACCAACAAGTGCAAACCCCGTCCCAAATGATTTGGGACGAGTATCCATTTAGTCAATCAGTCACTAAAGTGACTGATGGTTAAGGGGGGTGATGTAACGGGGTGAATCGTTACATAACAATTTATAAGAAATTGTTAATAGAATATAACTATAAGAGTTATATTCTCAGAATATTGTCATAAGGACAATATTCTGTAGCACTTCCAAGTAGTTCCTAATTGGTTGATATAGGCCATTATATCAACCAACGAAGACGCGCCACGACAGACGCACGCAATGAGTGGTGAGCAGATAACTGATTTACACATTTGTATTTAGACATAGTTAGATGAAGATAAATAGTGATTTATTGCAGACATTAACTATTATAAATACAGTTCTACTTTTTTACTCTAACCGAGTACTCGCTTCTTCTTACCGTCTTCCTCTGCACGTACGAGTGTACGTGAAGTTACGAGGCACCGCCTTATTCTGTTATCAGAATAAGTAGCTTGTACTGTCACCAGTACAAGCTTCAGGGTGCCCCGTTACACTATCGAAGTACTAACCAATATAGTTCCTTATTTAAGCTTTATCGTGGCATTTAAATTTAATATGCAAAGTTTACAGAGATCTACGCGAGCACTCCCTTCAGCAACGAGCACGACTCGGGGTGATTGTTGGCAAGGGTACCGAAGTGAAAATTTTTTTTTGTGTGTTTTGAAGCAATAAAGAGTAGTCATTGTCACTTAGCATGTAAAAAATATCGAGGCATGACTGATGTAAAAAAATGCACATTTTTAGCGTGGAATTAATGTTGAAAATGGCGATGACATGGCCACGTTAAAAGACGATGAAGCAACGAGTGCTTCTTCAGAGATTTTTGCTCGTAACAAGACTCAGAAGAAGAAGAAGGATAAATTCTGGCAGAGATCGCGGTATAAAACACAATCAAGAATGTGGCAAAGCGGTCACAAGGAAATTTACTGTTCAGTTGGAGTGGGGGATCGGGCGGATCGCACACCTCAGCTCGGTCTAAAGCGTTATGATTGGTGGACACGAACTGGGATGGGTGGCTAGCAATAGCGCACCTAACCCCAGTCAGCAGGATCGATATCACTTGGGACAAGGCTAGATGACAGTGGAGCCAGTTGGATTGCGTGATTCATCGTGAGACAGGGATAGGGAAGATTCGTGATACCTCACCTAGGGATCACGATCCTGACATAAGACCACGATTCGGACCTGTGATCGCGATTCGGACCTAAGATCGCGATTTGGACCCGGGACAGCGATCCGGACCTAGGATCACGATCTGGACCTAGGATCGCGACCACGACCCAACATCACGATCCGGACCTAGGAGCGCGATCCGGACCCAACATCACGATCCGGACCTAAAAGCGCGATTCGGACCTAGGACTGCGATCCGGAACTGGGGTCACGATCCGGACCTAAAATTACGATCCAGACCTGGGATCACGATCCGAGGCAAATGGTGGTGGTGATATCTCGGGTGGACCACATAAAGATTTGACTGCTAAAACACCTGATGTGGGCCACACCAATATGAGAGGACGATCTTCCTGAAACAGGGACGCGTGGCATCCGGTTAGGATATACGGATAAGGCAGAGGGGTAAGTTATAGGTTAATTGGTTAGCAATAATGAGAATTTAATATACTTCATGAGACGCACGCAACCTCTTCCGGTCGGGATCTTTGGCCTCCCGAAAGATAAAGAGTCGCGTAACCCGTCCATATAATTGTCGCACCTGGATTGTTTGGTCAGGTGCGTTCAAGAGTTTTCAGGTGACTATAACTGCGATCGGACGCAGCAAGACACGTAAATGCAAGGCACAACAAGATCGCGAGACGGCTCAAGTGGTCAGAAGGCTCGCGTATCAAGGACCCACACAGTGAGCAAGGCGATCTCGTTGAGATCAGGGTAACTTATATCAGTACCTCACCGATACCCCTGTGATCGCGCGAAGATTTCCACTCGATCACACAAACTCATCTCAAACACGGTCAAGTTTTCCCTCGACACGAGTTTACCTGTAAGAGAGCTACCCGCCTTACCGACGGGTACACAAGGTGAGGAAGGCAACACACACGGAATCAGAGTATTCCCTCCGTTAGTCGGTCGTCTGGGCGCCAGTGGAGAGTCGGGGTCGACGCATCAAATGAGCGATCACCACTCCACCACAATGGTGTGCGTGAACGGATATTCTAGAGACTCGGGATTTCATCGTGAGTCCCAGAGTGAAAGGGTTAAATTCAATACTGAAACTGAGATTGAAGCTTTAGAGGCAAAGGGATAGCCGTAGACGCGTGAATCTAAAGGATTCCCAGATTATCAGAGATTTGGGAGGGGATCGGATAAGAAGAAAATGAAAGAGGAAGATCGAACTTTAGATCTATAGGCTGAACCTCAAAACCTTCCTGCGGTCCCTTCGGGGACCACCGAGGATCGTGCTGCAAAGTATGATTCGCTGGGTGAAAACCCTTTAGCGAAAACTGAGCAAAAGCTCCACAAGACCCCTCAGGCAATGTTGAAGAAGAAGCTTGTGAAGACAGATCGAGTGAAGAAATAAGCGTCTAGATTGGATCAACACGATTGCAGTGCGAAATCGATCAACAAACCGATTATGTTCATGGACGATGCTATGGATACAGAGATGGAAGGCCGACAGCTGCATCAATTGAAGCAGGGATAACATTTGAAGGCACTCAAGTATCTGCAACCGAGTGACCCCGTGCTAAAGATAATGAAGACCAAGCTACTTGGAGAAGCACGAGTTCCAACATCTCTACCGAAGGCGGCAACTAACCCGCTCGAAGGTATCAACGCGGTCATCCAGCTACCACAGGATGCAGGATACGTAGCTAAGATGTTTGATGCGGACAAAATACTGGAGTGCAACCAAGGTCAGGTGATCCACGCGTGTCGATCGGTATACAAAAAAAGTTCCCTGACGGGTAAGTGCGAATACACGGATCAAGCTGTTGTTACGATCGCCGATGCCCCTAGAGGGTACCATACTGGATCGTCGCATTACAACTCGGTAGAATCCGAGATGGATTCGGACGTTTCAATCGGTATTCAGCAGGAGTCTTTAGGCCCAAGTGGAGCAGCACATCTGCATGATCGGGTGGAGATGATCAAGATCAAACCTTGATCAAAGAAATCTAAATCATCAAAGTCAAGTCGGCGTTCCTGCGCGATCAGGCTCCTGATAAAGAAAAACATCGGGTGTTCGGCAATCTGTTGACGGGACCTGAGCGAAACTGGTACAACTAACTGAGCCAATCTACCCGGCACAGATGGAAGCGATTGCTGCGTTGTTTGATGACCCAGTATTAGGCCAAGGTGTGTCTCTGGCTAGAAAATACTATCTCGCGCGAAAGCGGCCCGATGAAAACCCGCTGGAGTATCTGCATCGTCTTAACGTTGCATCCAAGCACGCTAAGATCGCGATCATAGAAGAGAAAATGGCTACCGCGGCCACGCGTCGCCAGCATGTGGAACATTTTATTGCTGCGCTCGATGATCATGATCTAGTGAAACAGCTAACTCGATTGCGATTGACGGACATTGATGAAATGGAAGAAACTCTCCCTGCATGCCAACGGATGGAGAATCGTCAGGTGAAAGCGTCAAAAGGATCGAACAGATTCCATCAGCAAACGACCGTGCCTCCCAATCCAATGTCATCCAAGACAACCCGGGAAGTGAGGGCGATCCGCAAGAGAGTCGAAAGCAGCGTGTCAGAAATAGACTAAACTGGATTCGATAAAAGCTAAGAATCGTCGCCGAGTCTGTGTGACATCTATGTCTGATCAAGAAAAATCGGACCAGGATCATCGCGCTTGGCAAAGGAACACTGGTGAAAGAGATAGAGGTGACCGAAGTGGAAAAACGAAGGCGTGTACCCATTGTGGATCTACCAGACACGAAGATTGGGGATGCTCAATCGTCTGATGTGCTAGAATTGTGGCCGCAAAGGATATTCATCAGACAAGTATTTTATGTATG